CGGGCCTTTCCCCCCTTGGCCGCCGGGCGTCTGGCGGTGGAGCTGAAGGGCCTTAACGTGCGTCACCGCAGCCTCTTGTCCCTCGGCTGGGGGCAATGCCGGGGGGAGTTGGTGGCTGTACACAGAAAAAGTTGTTTTCACGTCCTTCTGTTGCGTTGGCCATACCAGTGCAGCCAGGAGAACAGGCTGAAGGCTTCAGCCAGCACTGGAAGCATCTTCCCGGCCGTGAGATAAAATTATCTTCCAGATTATACTTGTATACAGATAATAAGATTTGGTTTTGTCACTTCAGTCAGAATTTGTATTTTCTACAAGATTAAAAGTCAAGATATCTCTTCCAGATTTTTTTTTTCACTCCTTGGAAAAACAAATTTAACATGCAATTTTCTGAAAGAGCTGTAAACACAAAATATTCAGCTGCACTGTCCATAGGAAACAACTTCTTAGAATAGTCAATGCAGCTAACAGTCTACCTGTGTTGAAAATTCATTTCCAGTCTAATGAATCCCTTGACCCTGAAACTTCAACTGTATCACTGTTTAGTCTTTTTAAATCTGGATTATCTGATCTTTAGAACTTGGTATTTGTGACATTTATCCTAGTTACTGACATCATTGTTGTGAGTTTCCTACACAAGTGGCTAGACTTCTGAGATACATTGAATTACTTTCATGGTCTGAAACAAAGAAGGTATTTGGGCTGCCTTAAATCAAATAAACACTTGATTTAAAAAAAAAAATAAATAAATTGGTTTAATTAAACCAGTGTAAAAGCTACGCCAAGCCTCCTGTATAGGGTTTCCTTTGGTCAGGTACATTGGCTGTGTTTGAAATGGAATAATGAATGTAGATGTCCTGACTGTCAGTGGGTGTCATTGTGCATTCACAGTGCATCTCAACCTTGATCTTGGCAAATGTCACCAAGGGGATATGTGTTGTTGATCATAAATATCTTTGTATTTATGCTCACATTGTTTCTGTGGCTTACTTTATTTTTGTTTTAAAGGCTGCTCACTGCAGGAGATAATTATTTGACATTCAAGCTTGTAGTTACTTATATTTTTCTCTTGCTTCCACCTCAACTAATTTTTTTCTTCTTTTTCTCCTTACAGCAATTGGAAGACTTTGTGAAAAATGTAAGTATATCTTCTACATGTAGTTGCTTGAGAACATGGTTTTGTGGTTAGAGCACACAGTTTGGATTTGGGGATTGCATTCTGGTTTTGCTTTAATTAGGAACTTGATGTCACTCTTCGAGATGGGAACAGTTACTTGTGGATTACAAGTGTAAATCGATGAAGACTTACAAAGTTGCATGCTTAAATAGATTGTTGCACAAATGCATGCTGTTCTAGAGTCTGTGCTGCCAGCATTTTCAGTAGCTGAGGCTACAGTGACTCCCTTGATTGATTCCTTGTAATCTGTGATACAAAATGGTCAGCCTGATGATTTCAAAGCAGGAAAAAAAAATGGGGTTTTGGAATCTGACTTCTTCACACTTTGAGAAAGGTTCCTTCAGCATCTGGGAGAATAAGAAATGGAGGGGGGGAACATCTAGAGTTAGAGCAGAAAAACCCCACAGAATCAGATGACAGTAGAAGGGAAGAAAGCATATGATCCATCATTAGATCTTTGTAGGGGGACAGAACAAATAAGATTGCTAGTTTGTGACTCAAAAATAGTATGAAAATAAGGCAAGTGGGGAGAAGCATGGTCTGAAGCAACAAGATTGTTTTCAAGAGCGCTCAGCAGTGAAACAGGTTCCTGTTGGTAGTAGTTGAGGGCTGTCGTGCTGGCGATTTAAGAACAAGTCAGATAAGCTGTTTGTGGACAGAGTCAGGATTAGATGCCTTGGGAACCGGTAATAGGATATGCAGCCTTTCATCCCTGGGTCAGCGTCTGGGATAAGGTCCAGCACGGCAGAGACTGTCCATGGCATCTGATGGCTGAGCGCCTGTGTGAAATGAGTACTTGCGTTTCACTCAGTTCCTTGTGAGGAAGCAGGAGCAGCTTTTGTGAAATGGCTGTTCATGCCAGTTTGCTCTTTCTTTGGCCTTCTCACAGGTGAAGGATTAAAGGGACCACAAGTACAATCTCTTACCTGATCTCTTTGAGGACAGTAACTCCAGACTTGTGTTGACGTGGTGCTGTGGGAGAAGCTTGCAGGAAAGGACACTAGTCCTGTCAGCCCAGCAGTTTTTTCACAAGTGAAAAATTCAGGAAAAGTTATGGAGTAAAAGTAATGGTGTGATCTAAGCAGGTGCTGGCTAATCACAGAAGCAGTGAGTTTGGGTTTCTTCTCTGATGGTGAATGCATGAATAAATAAAAGTTAATTAAAAACCCAAATATTGCAGGCTGCTTGCCCTTGTTCCTCACAAGTCTGTATTGCAAATACAAAGTTGCACCCTGTGCCTGCAAGATAAATTTCTGCAGTTCAATTGTATTGTCTTTGAGTGGATAGGCAAGGTCTTTGGCTGGAAAGCTTTTCCCCTTCGATGTAGGGGTGGAGAAAAGGACGTTCTGTAACCAGAGGTTCTGCTGTACTTGCAGGTGATGGCAAATGTGTGATCTGTGACTCGTACGTGCGGCCCTGCACTCTGGTGCGCATATGTGATGAGTGTAACTACGGCTCGTACCAAGGGCGCTGCGTGATCTGCGGGGGCCCAGGAGTGTCGGACGCCTACTACTGCAAGGAGTGCACCATCCAGGAAAAAGATGTACGTTGTCATCCAGTCTCCTGTTGAATGGGCTGTGTCTTTATTTAGTAGCCCTGCTTACCTTTGAGGGGCTTGGTGCTGCTGAAAGTAGTGTTGGGACATGGGGCGCTTGGGTTCCGCTGCCAGTGTTGGCGCTGGTTTTCATTACCTCCTACCTTTCTTCCCCTGTTGGTAGCTCCCCATGTTTGCAAAGCATTTTGAGATACCCTAGCATTCTAAATATCCTAGATATTCTAAATATCCTAGATATTCTAACTCTTCATTGCGAAGGATCTTTGACTACTTGGCACTGCACACTCACGATTCACTTCCTCCACATGCTGCAAGTTACCACTTTAAGTTGTTATCTTACTAGATCTCTCAGCTCAGGTTTTATCAAGGTCAGAGATAGTCCAGACGCTGCAAAGGCAGTGGCAGGAGCAGCTCCTCACTAGAAGTCCATAATCAGCCACTGACCAAGGGCACGTGTGGTACTCTAAGGCCTATGGAGTCACCACCTATGTTTTCCTTTGGATTGCAACATAAAGTTAGATCTTAATGTCCAGTCTCTGCACTACTAATTGTGTTTTACAAGTTTAAAGTTTCTTGTACAGTTTCAGTGGGATATGATTTATTTATTTTTATTCTTTTCTGGAATGGCCTGTATTGTAGACATCTCTTTTTCTGCTAACACTTTTTGGTGTAGCAATCCCTTATTTCTTTAGTCACTGGTATAATCTTGTGTCGAAAGATAGTCGCTGCACATGTGAAATGAGGCAGCTGTTCACCCCTTCTGAGGTGCTTGTTAATATCCAACACGATGAGTGCAGGACATGAAGAACCGCAAATGAAGTGGTAAAAAGACCTTAGGAAGAAGCAAGAACATGATGCTTACAGATGCAGCATCCCCAGAATATGGACCTGATAGCTGTGAGAGTGCCTGTTAAAGGTTGTTTGGGTTTTGACGCTTTGCAGATACTGTCTCCAGCACACTCTAATGACAGTGCAGAACATGCTGAGAGAATGGCTCAGGTTGATTTAGAGGAACGTGCTTAGCTGAGTGAGTAGCTGGTTTAATTCTCTGCACTGCCTTCATTTTCTCTAGAAGCCTGCAGCCAAATTCAGGACAGGGGTAGGACCTCCTCTGAATTTAGTCATTAGATCTGACAGGACCATAATCTGAGTATCTAAATACAGATATAAGTGCTGTGGTGGTGGTGCTCCCTCCTACTTCAGAAATACTGTGAGAAACAGTAGTTTTGTTCACTTGCCTTTGGAACCAAGACACCTGGCTCGATAAATAGGCTTGGTTTTATTTTTACCAATTCCTATTGATTCCCAACAGGCATTTTTCATAACCTAAGCTCACCTATAGATTATCATGCCTGGTGCCGGTGTAAAATAGCCAGCTGCCCTGCAAGGGAGGGTTGTGGAAAGCACAGAGCTGGAGGAGCAGGAGAATGACAGGTCAGAACTGAGGTATTTTGACAGCTGGGTGTAGGCTGCTGTGGGTGAAGGCAGTTGTGTACCAGCCAACTCAAACGTTAGGGATTACTGCAGATGTGAAATTCCAGATCTGAAACAGCAGACTTGACATGATTGACTTGCAGGATTGAAAAGTGCTGGCACGGGTGTAGGGTGCCTGGAAAGAGAAAAGTCAAGTGTGCTGCCTGTCACTATTATGGTAGCTGGTGCTGATGTGAATAAGGAAAGCAGATGAGCAGAGCTCGATACGTGAAGCTCTAACACTCCAAGGTTTCAGTCACAGCACTTCCATCATCCTCAGGAAAAGACTGGAAAGAATAGTGAAGCAAGAAGGCAAATACTAAAATGGAGGGAGGAGGTGGAATGCTGTTGGGCACGAGGCAGGTGGCCTACTTTTGGATCATTTGTTCTGATGGAGGGAGGAACGAGGTATTGTTTCACCCCACTTCAATCTGGTTAAGGGCCAAAATCCCACCTGGTCACCCAGGACAGCTCTGAGATGCAAAAAGTAATCTTACTGGGGACAGGAGCATGCTCATGTGCTGCCTCCTTAGGAGGAGGTGGAAGAATGAACAGAGCCCTGCAGTAATGCTGTCAAGGTTGTCACAGAGTCCCTGGATCGTGGGAGGCAAGGCTAGGAAGAGTCCTACTGTTGAGGTTCAAAATCAGATAAGGAGGCAGTAGCTGGAGATGGGTTGTGGCAGTTGTATGGGGGAGAGGTGATTTCTTTTTGTCCCCCTTGTGTTATTTCTACCATGCAGACCCTCCCCACCAACTCGCATCTCCTGCACAGGAGCAGGTATTGATGGGGCAGCTTGGGTGCAGTTTCTAAGGTGGCTGACATCTGCTCAGAGGCTTTCTAAATCTGATCTGCTTGGGCTTACACAACAGCCAAGGACACGTGTTCCTCTGCCTGCTGGGCCCCTCACAGCTGCTGTTGCCAGCCATAGCATTTTGCCCTCAAGAGTTATGCAGATGTTGGGCTTAGGTGGCCCATGGACAAATATTCCCTGGTACACCAAGAGGTGCATCTCTGACTTGTCTTTGCAATCACACCTTTGAGGTGGGTCTCCTCTGCTCCCTTTCTTGATTTTCTTGTGTTTTTTTCTCACCATCTACTGGAATTCAGGTACAAGCGCTTATCTGTGTAGCTGCTGTGAATAGCTGTCCTCTCCCTAGGTGACCAAACAGCCTCTGTAGTTATCAATCCAGGATGCAGGAAATCTGAGACTGAGTTCTGCTGTCACAGCTGAGAGGGGTCCCTAAACACAAGAATGGCTTGGTGACATCTAAAGCAACAAGATTCTTTTTGGCTAAGAAGGTGTAAGGTTAATCCTCTGGGCCCTATAAATCCTGTGTATCCTAATTTAGAAAGAATCCAGTCTTGAGGCACTGAGCATCCTTTTTATTAAACTGCTGATGTTATACGAGCTGTTTTCCATCTTCACCCCGAGGAAGAGAACGTCTTAGAGTGTCCTGGTTTTTGTTAAAAAAGCGCCCACCCTCTTTGTTCCACTGGCTTGCTGGTAGTAACCAGAATTGGAGGGCAGTTTGTCTGCACAAGTGTTTGAAATGTGTGTTGAGGACAGGGTGAGGAGCGTGGGAACTGAGAACCTGCTAGAACTGTGTCAGTGATGATGTTGTTCTGTTTGCCCGTCTCATAACTTCCATTCTCCTTTCTTCTTACAGAGAGATGGTTGCCCTAAGATCGTCAACCTGGGCAGTTCCAAGACAGATCTCTTCTATGAAAGGAAAAAGTATGGCTTCAAGAAGAGGTGATCCTATCTGTACGTGGCTACACCTCCTGCTGGGTTGGCAAGAGGGTCTTAGACCATCTCTGGACTTTACTATTATTGAAAACCGGTTGATTATTTTTTTCTAAAGCAGTACAAATCCAGTAGTATACTTGGGGTTGGAGAAGTGATAGACTGAGCAGGGACTGAAACCTGATCAGAACTGACTATCAGAAAGAGCAAGTGAGGGTTACTGTCTCTGGCCTTTTCAGAAGCTCTGCTGGTAGCTGTCCCAGCTCACTATAAAAACCCTTGTGGGCAAGTATTTACACCTGGAGGAGACCAGCTCAGTAAAAAGCAAATGCCCTTTCTGGTGTGGGAAAACCCCTTGCTCATGTTCTTACCAGGCCTCCTCTCAACTGTTAGAAATTGCCCCCTGCATCAGCATTGAGGAGCAGAGCGCCAATCCCATGTGTCCGATCCCCCCTCCCTTCCGCCGGCATATTTCCACGCTGCCCTGTTTTGTAAGGAACCCGCTGGTGGCTGGTGCCTTCCTAGGGAGAGCACAGCTGTTCTATGTTTTCTTTGACAGATTAATCCAAGGCCCTTTCTTGTAACTCTTTCTGTAGGATGCCTACCAATAAAGCTTCTTCTTTTGTTTTTTGGGGTTTCTTTTATTTATTTATTTTTTATAACAAGGATTTCTCTCTGGTTCATTCTGTGCCTAGCCTCTCTGGAGCTTTCTGGGGACGCACAGGATTAGCCCAGCTAGAACTGCACAATGGGTTATCTGGTTTCTGACAGTGCCTGCTTATGGCCATGTGACCTTGCTGCAAGGAGCTTCAGGGAATGGTTATCGCTTTTGTCTGCCTGTGATCCCAGCCACTGATCATTTTGTCCCGTAGCATGAGGATCGCTGAGCTTGTAAACCTTATCCTGGCTAATACGGCTGTGGATGTTGTTTCACCATGCAAATATCCAATCCCTTTCTAAAACCTACTAAGCTATTTGACTCGCTATCCTGTTCTTGTGAATAAGTTAAAGCCTTCCCTGCTGTAACTGGAAACCAACTATTGTGTTCTGGGCTATTAGCCGTGTGCACACTGAAAACCAGAGGCTGCTTGTTTGTCAAATACCAGTACGGGCTAAAAGCAGTCTGTTGGCTCAGCAGAGATCTGGAAACGGGCGCCTTACGCAGAGGTGGAACCGAGTTCCCTACCAGTGCGTGCGCTCCCGGGATGGTTAAATTAGGGTCCTAGCTCAGCACGCCCTGGAGTCCTTGAAGTCTTCATAGTCCGGGCAGAGCACGTGCTACAGTAACAGGATTCTCTTTGTGCAATCTTGGGGTGCAGAGCCTGGTTTTTGCCCCTTCTAGGATTTCAGTTGTTCCCCCAAGGCTAGGACTGATTCCTCTAACTCCTCTCTAGCTTAAATGCCTCTTCTACCTCCTCCAGCCATTTACGTGTTTCCGATAGGAGCGAAAACAAGCAGACAAGTTGTGGCCATGTTTCTTTTAAAAGTAATTTCTTCCTGCTGCCGCTGGCTCTAGCTATGACTGGTCCTACAGCCATCTCAGCTGCTCCTCCTTCTCCTCCCCCCAGCTATTCATTCTGTCAGGTTTCTCTTCCAGGCTTTTTGCAGTCCTGAGAGTATCTGTATCTTCTTCCTTGCACCATGGTTCCCTTACACAGCTTCTGGTTAATTTTTGCTAATGTCTTTTGCCAAGATGTTCAGAGCAAACTGGTTCTCTGGTTCCAACAAACCACCTCTCTCAAAGCAATTCCACCTGAATAAGCAGCTGCCTCTTGTTCCTGACTGGGAAGCCCATGTCAGAGCCATTATCAGCCGTGTTAAATTCTGTATTTCTTTAAAAGCAGAGCATGACATGCAGATTTTTTTTTGTACCTGGAACTTTATCACTTCAACCAGAATTTATCACTTGCTGTCAGTCAGGCTGGCCAAATTATCGCACTAGAAAGGCAGTAGGTTTGTACATATTTTTTTCTTTCCCAGAAGTTTCTGAGATAACAAAAGTTGTTCAGTGAAAGCAGAGGGAAATTAAGTTTGAATTATTTCTTTTGTCTCAGAGTTACTGCCCCTGGTGGGGGGACCCCTAGAAGATCTAATTTTAGAGCAGCCCTTGTTCCCAATCATTTAGCAGGATCAGCCAGACAGGGGTTGCTATAGAGATAAGAGTGTCCCCTTTCCTTCCCCCACCCCCAAAAACGGCTGAGCATACTTACTTGCTTGGCACTTCTGGTGCCCTCACTCTCGACTGCGGGGTATATCGGTCTGCGTTCTGGCAGCAGTGAGGGTTAGGCTGCCATTTCTAGTTGTTCTGAGTCACTGGGCAGGTGGAGAGAGGGAGGGACAGGCTTTTTCCCCTTTGCCTTGTTTGCTCACACAGCTCTGGGGAGAATGCCAAGTGCTGCTGGTGCTCAGATCAGTTCAGCGCTGCTGCCTTTCTGGTGCTTTCAGAGCACGGACGGGACATTGCCCTGAAGCTGCTAATTCGGACAAGGGTAATGGATACAGTTGGGTAGCCCAGAAGAACTCAGCCTTGCTTGCGTGGTAAATTTTGTTCACCAGCAAATGAAACCCAAGCAGGGCCCCTAGAAAAGTGCAGTATTTCTTACCTAGATGGATTTTAAAGTACTTGTGCAGTAGAAGGAGATTTCCTGGCAGTACTAGAGACTGGAGAACGTGCTGAAAGGCTGCACTTCCCTGCAGGGAGGGAATGAGACAAGACCTGTCCTGCTTCTGTGTGCCTGCCAAGCTCTGGAAGGGCTTCATCAGACCTTGGGGCCTTAAGCAGCCTGATTCAGGGGCTTCTTGGCTGCCAGCTGTGAAGCCACTTGCATGACAACTGCCAGGAAGGGTGGGAAGGAGAGCGACGGCGTCTCTGTGGCAGCTGAACCCCCACGGTGCTGCCTGCAAATCCTGATTGCAGGGAGCTAAATGTGTCTTCCTACCAGTACTTTTCTAGGTAGGGTTATCAGGGTTTTGTGGTTTTTTTTTTTCTTTTTTAATCAAAAAGATATTATGTAATAAGTTAAAAAATCCCTTTGTTTCAAATATTTACATTGGGGGGGAACATGAGACCTCTTGGCCTATTAAGTAATCGGTCTCTTTGTTGCCAGTACTAACAAGGCATCGCTGCATTTTGAAATGTAGATAGTCCCTGTTACACGCCTTTTCAGACCAACTACCAGCCACAGCTACAGTCAAGCTCAGCAAATAGCTCCATAACACACCCCTCGTCCTTGGAATCATCTAGACCTTGTCTTGACAAAACCCTTGAGCCCGAACCATCACCTTTAAAAAAAACCAAAGGTGGGCAAAGGCCTGGAGTCAGAATCCTGCTCTGGAACCGTATCTGCACAGGAGCTGTTATTTTCTCGTTATGGGGATCAGCTGGAGATGTTGTTTGCCTGCTTCAGTAGCAGGAAAGAATTTTTCATTTCCTTGAGGTTGTCATATGACTTGAATGTAAAGAGGATTCAGGGTATGGCGATATTAATTACGCCCAATTATAACCTGACTGCCCTTCTTTGGCATTAAATAACCCGGCAAAACGAGCTCTGTCCCGGTGGCCTGGCAGTTCCTTCCCTCCCTGCACGCACATGATTCGGTAGTTTTGCTTTTGACGCAATAGCCAAATGGCCGAGAACGCGTGAGCGGATCCGGTGACAGAATTCCTCTGCCCCCATGTGTACCGGGGCCACGCGGCAATTAAAGGAGCACGGTCAAGGCCCAAGTATTTCAAAGAGCCCTAACGTGGAACACCCTCTTAGTAACACCTTATTAAAACAACAATAGAATTTTAGAAATGTAATTGCCTTTTTTTTTCTTAATGATGCTAAAAATAGCACAGTCATTTTAATTTCCTGATCTCTGGCTGGCAGCGTGATTTTGTTAGCAGCAAAGCACGGGAGTATTAGAAAAAAATGTGTTATTTTCTAACTAAAGTCCTCTTAAACTAGAAGTGATGAAAATAAGGCTGCTCATAATATCTCTCATAAATCTTCCCCTTGTCTTCCTCCCCCTTCCCCTGCAGGGAAAAAAAAACAGCAGCAACTTCACAGATTGGTTTTGGGTTTTTTTTAATCAGTGGGAAAATGAGTGAGGATGGCTGGGGCTGGGAAGGACAGCACTGACAGATTGCTTAATGCCTGGCGTTGAGGGGCTTCAGAAGAAGTCCTCTTCAGTGGCAAAGGCAGTACCTGAGTGAGAGAGGACAAACCAAACCCAGAAGGGTGCTGAGGATCTTTGTGGAAATGGGGCAAGAGAAGAACTTTGTATTTTTGCACTCGGGAGACGGTTGCTACAGAGAATTATTTAACCAGAGGGACATGGAGCGTCTCAGGAAGTGTCTGTGGTCTTTGTCCCTTTGGAAAATGGGTGATAAATTAAGCATTTGAATGTAACTGTGTAATTGGGAAGATCCTGTTCCAAGATAGAATGTGACTCTGTGATGGGATTTTTGTCGGGAACTCTTCAGAACCAAGACAAACGGGGCATTGAGCTGCCCCTGCTGCAGCAGGGACTGTGGCAGCGCTTTGGTCACCGAGACCGTTTCTCCCTCCCTGGT